AAGTCCCCCAATTTTAGGGTTATGTCTTAGTTTTAGATTTTAATCCATTTCTTATTTCAATTGCACATGCCAGAGCCATCAGAATTCAGTATTGCTATGGCGAAACCTGCGGTGAGGCGTCACGCACCTGCAAGGGATCGGATCAGCCAACTCCCGATAGAGATACTCGACCATATTATGGGCCTCTTGCCTGTTCAACAAGCTGCTAAAACTGCAGTTCTGTCCAAGGTTTGGAGAGATGTGTGGTTCAGTCTCACGCGTTTGTGCTTTGATCATGACTTCTTTAGTTACTTCCATAAAAAATATCGGCGGGCTAGCAAATATGTCAAGAAATCTTCATGTTTGTATGTAATCAACAAAGTTCTGTTGCAGCACAAGGGGCGTATCCGGAAATTTGTCTTTCTGTATGGTAATGCCGGGAAACTTACCGTTAGGTCTCGGTCATTTGACATGGATCAATGGTTGCTTTTAGTCATGCGAAAGGGCGTTGAAGATATCCACATTCTTTTTGGATATAACGAATACAAGCTTCCGAGTTTCATATTTTCATGCTCCACACTCAGGACATTACGCCTTGATGGGTTGTCTATTCAACCACAAAATTCCCCGTGCTCTTTACGGAATCTTTCCACACTTTGTTTTGCAAATGTTAAATTTGTTCCTAGGCATCTCGCAAACTACACTCTTGATGTTCCTAAGCTGGAGAATCTAGTGTTTAAATACTGTGAGGATATGTTTCACTTCAACATTACTGCTAGAAAACTTTGCAGTTTGAAAGTCGATTGTTGTCCTGGTAAGGAAGTGGGCAAATTTCTCCCGGTCAACTTGGACTTGACATCCATTTGCACCCTTGATTTGGACTATTACACTCTTGAGGTGTTTCATCTAGACCTTTTATATTTAACTATGATTTCTAGTATTATATTACTCCGCGCATTTGAAGTGATCTAACTTCATTTCCATATGATTTCCAAGTACATTATTGGCCAATATACTACAAAGGAACTCTTGCTACAACTCCCTGCACTAAATGTGGAACTGCTCAAGCTATCCGGTTTTTGTTTCCATGACGATGCTAGGACTTCTGCATTTATATGCTTGCTTAACAAATGCCCAAAGCTATGCAATCTTGAAATAAGTTTCACACCTGAGGTAAATCCTCTTGAAATTCTTTTTGCTTCCATGTTTTCTGCGTCCCTTCATGCAATTTTGGTCTGAACTACCAAACTCTTATTTTCCCTTCTCGTGTTGTGTCTTCATGTAGTGGGGAGAGGATATCAACAAGTGTGTAGATGCTGAATCGAAGCGTTTGAAAAATCTTCGTAGAGTGCTACAAACACACAAAATGCTTCTAATTTTGCAGCTTAGCTCGTTCTCTGGACTGAGGCCCCAAATGCATTTCATTCAAGAGATGCTTGCCTGTCTTCCCGCACTTGAAAAGGTTATCATCAGTCGTTCTTATGGGTTTGATTGGAGCAAGAAACATGAAACTTTGGAAGAAATAT